CGAAACTTTCAATGGAAGGAACAAAATGTTAGCTTCTAAGAATGAGTATCTAGAGACTACATTGGTTCACGCCAAAATCGAAAATGGGTCTTACTGTTGCCGGTTCAAAGATACTGACGTCGAAGGGAACAAAAGGGATGCAGATGAAGTTCAAACGTTTTTCCTCCTTTTCATAGGTCTCCATAGAAGTTTAAAGGTTACCTTCCATTGCGCGTCTTCATCCTCTTTTCGAGTTGTGGTGGTAACTTGGCTGGGTTGAGCGAGCTCATCGTGCACATGCTGAAAACTATCATGATCAGAAAGTTTTGTTATGGCTATCCTCTGAGAGTAACCTGAATTAAACGGACCTGGACAAAACCATCTGAGGTGGTTGTGGTGGTGACTCGCTTCGTCAACTGCGGAATGCGAGATTGAGCAAGCTTCTGAAAAATCCTTAAGTGAGAAAGAAAGATCTGATGGGATAGGAGATTCACTGGACTCTCGCTCACCCTAGTAGCCTCCTCGTCTTCCGTTGTTTTGGTTGTTGTGACGGTTTGAACGCCTCCAGTAGTGGTCTCCGCTAGTCTCTGGAATTGAAATTCTTTTTTCTTCCGTGTTGATTATTTCAAGGGTCCCACCAGAGGGTTGTATGGTGTCATACGGCTTCCTTGATTTCAGTAGCTGTTTAGTCACATGTACTAATCTTTAGAACAACGAACAAGGGTCAGGATAGGAGAATCCGACCACAGACAAAACATGAGAACCGGCAGGGATGTGAGCGATGTCAACCCTTTGTCATGCATGATCAACGTGGTTCTAGGCCGACACCATGAAAAATTCGAATTCGCATGCTATTACCAATAACTCACCCTTGCCTCCTCCTCTTCAGTTGTCTTGGTTGTTGTGACAGTCTTCACCTCAGGCTGTGTTGCTTCTATCCGCTGCAATGAATGATATGTTCAATTTGCCCCTAGCTGAAATTGAATGCATGTAGTTAAATTGAGCTGACCCGTGCTTCTATGACTTGCTCTTCTACACGTTTTGTAGTTTGCACAGTTTTCGGCTTTGCAACCTCAGCAGTGCGCTGTAAAGAATTTGTTTTTTCTGAGCAGCTTACTCATCTTTTTGTTTCAG